AAAAAAAAAAAAAACAAAAAAAAAGAACAAGAAAAAACGACTACTCTCTGCTACTATTGCTTCCTCCTTCGTTCAATTCATGTTCTTGATTGCCGGAAACCATGAGTTTTCTGGTGAGTTTCTGGCGATTCGCTCTCTTGTATGATCGGAGTATCCACTTTTCCTTTCCGAATTACCTCCCGCCATGGTTGTCTTTGAAGGTACTGTTGTTTTTGCCTGGCCTTTTTCTTGATTCCTTCTCCCAGTTTGGTTGCCGAGAAATGTTTTAGAAATTGATGGAGATTTGTATAGATTGAATTACTTGATGCTGCTTGAGTTAGTTGTTTTTTTGTTTTTGTTTTTTCTTTTAATTTTTAATTTTCGATTCCTGATGTTTTCTTGCCTGCTAAATGGATAGTGTACTTGACTTTGCCAGATCAGTGTTGTAACGATGCTTTGCTGTGAAGTGGAGGAAGTAGTTTGTTGATTACTCGATAGAATTCTCTCTCTTTTCTATGTTCTAAGGTTTTGGCATCTTCCAGTTCGTTCTGGTGAGGATTCTGAAAAAGGATTTTTCATTTCAAGTTCTTTTTCGGCGAAGTATTTCTATCTTGTTGCTTCTTAAAATATTTTGTTTAAAGTTTCATTTCCTGTTTCTTACAATACCAAATTTTTTCATAGAAGTCCATCGATGCAGTTAAATAATTTTGTTCACATGAAAAAGAGATGGATCTCTACCGATTGCTGTCGCTTTTTTTCTTCTTCTATTTTGCAGTTGCGTCAAGGAGCCAGGTCATAAAAGCAACAAAGGCTTCATAATTTAGAATTTTTTATATCCCAAACAATGAAAGGTGGTTTTCATTTTACTCGTTGCTCGTTGGAGAGGATTTGAAGCAGCGGTAGCTGCTCAGATCCGTCCATGGATCCCAACTCCTCTGGAGAAGACTTGGTTTTTAAGGTGATAATCCATTCCCCCTCCACAGAAGAGAAAAAAAAAAAATGGTTTAAGAAGAAGATAGACGAAGTGAAGAAAAGGAAAATGATAACTGTTTATAACTGATTTCGGAACTTGTGTCTATATGCATATGATAGACCAGGGTGATAGTCCATTCCCCCTCCACAGAAAAGAAAAATAATTTAGTGTAAGAAGTGAAGAAAAAAAAAAAACGAAAACTGTTTATAACTGAGGTCTGAAGTTGTGTATATATACATATGATAGACCAGGAAGCCATATACTATTACAAAGCAACGAGAGCGCTGGACGGAGGAGGAGCACGGTAGATTTCTAGAGGCGCTGAAACTCTATGGCCGAGCATGGCCGAGAATTGAAGGTTATATTTTGCTCAAATGTCAGCGTTCCTTTTTTGACTTTTCTTCATTTCTTAGCATATAACATTGGTTAGATGAATTATATACTGTGTAATATATGGTACAAAATTTATTACCTTCCAGGTAATTAAGCAGAATTTTCTTTAGTTAACAAATTTATGTCTCTGATTCAAATTCTTAGTTATTGTTGAGCTAATTTTATCTGGGTACATTGGTGACTACTGTCAAGTTTATATTGTCCCCTGAATAGATGCCTGATTCTCCACTGCATGACGATATATGCAGAACATATTGGAACCAAAACAGCAGTTCAGATACGGAGTCATGCACAAAAGTTCTTTTCAAAGGTCATTGGGTACCCTTCTCTACATAGTCTAATTTTTCGATTTTGCTTCTTCTTGGTTTGTAGTCCATGACTGGTTCAGTTGTTTTTATAATCTTGCTTGCTCATCAGTAGAACATTTGAGCGTTCTTACAGGTAGTTCCATTGGCACTATCGCCTAGTTGTCTTAATCCTGTATGCTTGTGATGTAGCACTCTTGCTCATATACCCAATATTAGCATGCTCAACAGTCCAAGGGTGGAGGAGAATTGAACACCACCATTTCCCCTTTTAAAAGAGTTGAGAGCTTGGTTCGGAAACTGTTTCACCACATGTTTATATTCACAACATTTTTAAGAACTGCAGCTGGGTGGCTTATAAATGTTAACAGTTATTGTGCGCTTGAAATCATTATTTCTAATCAAATTATTTTTATGAGAAAAACAACACAATAACTTTAATCGGAGTCATTTGTAAAAACAAATTAACAATTTTAAAAAACAGTTTTTCAAACACGTTTTTGCAAAATTTTTATAAAAGTTATTGTGAACATTCCCCTCTTCTGATAAATCGTGCTATCAGTGATACAATTTATTCATTCACATCAGACTGGTACATAGTTAAGGGTGAAGTTGAAAGCTCTTTATTCCTTCTGTATGGATTCAAAGACCACCCAGACAGTACCTACCCCAATTCAGTCTGTTAGCTAAAAGCCTACTGTTTCAATACCCTTCCATCTACCTTGGTGTTAATTATATTGTGCTCACTATGTTACATTCACTTGAATCACCACGAAGGTGGTTCCCTTTGGCATAAGGTTATTGTTAGCAAGTAAAGGCCTCATCCCCTTGAGTGGCTCAGCTTGGTAAGGGTTTAAAAGGCACTTTTAGAAACCCATGGAAAGCGATTGCATATGATCTTCCTCTTATTTATCAGTTTATTCATATTGATGTTGGGGACGAACGGGATACATATTTTTGGGAGGACAAGTGGTTGGAAAATAGACCCTGTGCTCCTAATTCTCTCATTTATATTATTTATCCTCCTTCATAAACTATTCGGTTGCTTCGATCCTCAGTCAAAGGGATTCATCACTTTTTCATTCCTTGATTTCCGTTGTTTGTTGAACAATAGGGAAACGTCAATTGTCTTGGCTCTTCTTTCCGCCCACTTGTCTTTCCACTTAGGCCAAGGAGGAGGGATGGGTGATTCCTGCCTTTGGACTCCTAGTCATTTCAAAGGTTTTTCTTGTAGCTCTTTTTTCTAATGCTTGCCCAATGCTTCCTTAGTGAGTAGTTCTATTTTTTCTCCTCAGTTTGGAAGGTGAAGTTCTACGTGTGACGGGTTTTTTCATGAAAGAGTAACACCTTGGTTCGGATCTTGACTAGAGGTTCTTTAGTGGTGGGTCCTATTCTTGTATTCCTTACTGAAGAGGGCATAGAACCTAGATCATATCATTGGAAGTTGTGATTTTTCTCGGGCGGTCTGGCACAATTCTTTTGAGGAGCTTTTTCTTCATTTTCTCTATTGTGACAAAGGGTGATTTTTGTGGTAGACTGGGGTGTGCTATTTTGTGGGAGCTTTGGAGTGAGAGAAACAACAAAATCTTTAGATGACGTGAGAGTTCTTTGACGATGTTTGGTCCCTCATTAGATTCTTTGTTTCTCTTTGGGCCTCTATTTCTAGAGTTTTTGGTGACTACTTGTTTGGTCTTATTTCTGAACTTGAGCCCCTTCTTACTGCCTGACTCCTGTTTGTGAGCTCTCCTTTTTTGTATGCTCGTGTATTCGTTCATCTTTTCTCAAAGAAAAACAAGTTTTTTCATCTAAAAACTGTGAGCCCAACTTAGGATTAGTAGGCCTAATGAAGGATCCCTGATTGTACAGTTTTGCAAGTTTACTAGTCACTTGCAACAAATTGAACTTTTCGTTCTCCCATTAGCAATGTGAACATATGTTGTGGGGCTCTCTATAAATACCCTTTAGCTCCTCAAGAATGACATCCCCATCTTTGAGTTGTTGGTCCATTTCAGCCATGGGGAAATTTGACATATATGGAAGGATAAGGGGTGGTGACTGGCTGCAAAATACTTGGAACTCAAGGACACAATTGTACAACCTATAGAACAGATCCTGTTCAAAGTAAGGTTGTGAACGATTGGAAACTATATCAAATAGCGTTAAGTTGATTGTAGAGTTGAATGCTGTATTATAGCTAGACTGAGCCCATGCCAACCATTTAGACCATTGTTTAGAAGTCACCATCACTTAGCACCAAGGATAAGTCTCTATACCTCTATTGATCACCTCCGTTAGCCTGTCCATCTCTGGCTGGTTTGTTAGGTTGTGTTTTAGAGTCCCTTGACATCTAAAGAACTCCGAAAATAATAGTAAAAATAATTATAAAATCTTATCCCTGTCTGAGACAATACTCCAATCCCTATAAAGATGCATGATTTCCTAAAAAAGATGAGCAGTTGTTGAGAACGGGTGCTTGAGAGGAATAAGGGGGCATTTGGAAGGCAATCAAATTCAACCAGAATAGTAAAAAAAAAAAAAAAAAAAAAAAAAAAACCTTTAGACTTGAAAAATACTTTGGCCAGCACCAGACTAGGTGTTACAACTCTGAAGGTCTTCTCCTAATTTGCAGCTTGTCAGACCTCATAGTAGATTTTGATGGCTTTGTACAATAATTTGATGGATATGACATCTAAGCAAATTTATGTTTACGTATGTATGAAATTTTTTATCTGATACATTATCAATATGATGCATGAATAATTGAACTCTTTCAAGTTTAATAATTTATATGAAATATACATAGTTCAATAAATTTTGCTTTATCATCAATGATACTCTAATTGAAACATAAGTTGACATTAATAGTTTCATCTGTATCACTGCTAATTTTGATTCCTTGGCATGACAACATGTTTTATTTGAATCGCTAAAATGAGGTGAACTGTTATAGAAGTGTATTGTGGTTTTGATAACCTCATCTTTTGTTTTGTAAATAACTTCTAATTGTATTATTTGTAAACCAACTTCAGGCAAAAGCTTTGCACTCTTTAAAGTACAAATCAATCTCCACGGTTACACTCACAAGGTCCCTTACCCTTGAAAGGACTGTCCATAGGAACCACCAGTTTCCTGTTCCTTCTGGAGTCTGAGCTTTTATATGAACAGATCAAATCAGGCCATTGTATCTGTTTATAGGATTCGAACTTGCTAGGCCATGTACAAAATTGCTAGTTCTATCTTTTCGGCAATTGTTACACACTCCACTAGATGGATATGCTTAGAAAATGTTTGCTACGTGTATATTTTGAGAACATATGTTTTATTGATTTTGTTTTGTTAATTTTGAGATTTCTTTTGTTAATTTATTTTTCCAGTTGGAAAAAGAAGCACTTGTTAAGGGGATTCCTGTAGGACAAGCTCTTGATATAGACATTCCACCACCTCGTCCTAAGAGGAAACCAAGTAATCCTTATCCAAGGAAGTCTCCTATATCAATGTTGGGAGCAAATGACGGGAAGCTCTCGACTCTGGTGTCTTCTTTACAGAGCAAACAAATCTTAGATTTGGAGAAAAAGCCAATGAATGAGGTGTGTTGCATTCTTCTATCTACTCCCAATGCGTTAATGTTGATCATCATAGTAATTCGCTTTTGCTACTTATATTATTAGGCTACTAGTGGAGAAGAACAAACATTTAATGAAAAGGATACTCATGACGATAATTGCTCAGAAGTATTTACCCTATCAGGAGAAGCTAACTCCTTTTCTTTGAAAAACCAACATTCTGTACCGGTGCAAGTTAAATTCAATGACTCATGTGCTTTCCGGGAGTTTGTGCCCTCAGTTAAAGAGGTAATTGTGAATCTTATATGTTCTTTTAGCTTATATCGAATCATAATATCTAACCCTGGGTGCCAAACAGCCACTCCATGAAAAAGGCATGGGAAAACTTTCAGAATTGGTGATTTCAAGTGCTTCACGCGAAAAATTGGTGTCTGCTGAAAAGAAAGAAGCTTTAAGCTGTGCACTGTCTGGGGATGAAATGCAAGCTGCTCATAATTATCCAAGGCATGTGCCTGTGCATGTGGTAGATGGAAGCCTGGGAGCAAATGGTCAGGGGTCTTTAAGAGATGCTCCACTGCAGGAATCCGCTTTCCATCCATCTATGGAGATTCAAGGAGAGCGTAGTATACTTCGGAATCCATCTGGTTCTATTTCCTTCGAACATCAACATAATGCACCTGGGAGCATTTATCAATCATATCCACCTATTCATCCTACTCCATTTACCTTACTTCACCCTAACCAAGAACATTACAAGTCAGTTCTCCAGATGTCTTCCGCATTTCTGAATCTTATTGTGTCCACCCTTCAACAAAACCCTGCAGCCCATGCAATAGCAAGTCTTACAGCAACCTGTTGGCCCTATGTGAATCCTGAAACTTCTGCAGACGCCTCAGCGTGTGATACAGAAGGTTCTAAAACCAAGCAAATGAACCCCACCCCCAGTAAGGAAGCCATTGCTGTAGCAACTGTAGCAGCTGCAACTGCATGGTGGGCGGCCCACGGATTGCCACCTTTATGTTCTCCTTTGCATTCTGCCTTTACGAGTGCTGCTATATCAGCTCCTGTAGTACAATCGTCAGATGCCTGTCCAAATTCTGAGTCCAAGGACAAAGCAGAAAGTTCCCTACAAAATGCTGCTTTGCAAAATCAGCAGCTGGATGCAGAACAATCAGAGGTTTTGACTGCTCATCAGTCAGGTTCCAAGTCACCTACTCATTCATCATCTGACTCTGGTAATGGAGGTGCAGATGCAAATGCTACGGTGAAACCTGTCCACAATGAGAAGACACCAGCTGAGGTTGAGTTTCATGATTCAAACGAGGAGAAGAGAGGAAAACAAGTAGATCGTTCCTCATGTGGTTCCAATACACCATCTGGAAGTGATCGAGAGATGTATGCAACAGAAAAAAACGATGAAAAAGAGAAGGGCAAAGAGCTTGAGACGAACCATCCAGCTCCCGAGTCCAGTATTCGTCGTAGTAGAAGCATCAGTAACACTAGTGAGTCTTGGAAGGAGGTTTCTGATGAGGTAAAAAGGGTATGTTATGTTATCGAAAGCATTTTCTCGCATTTTTCTTCGCATAATGCTTACATTTTTCTCGAAATTTATATCGTACAGGGGCGTCTGGCCTTTCAAGCACTCTTCACAAGGGATGTATTGCCTCAAAGTTTTTCACCTCCATATGATGTAGAAAGTGAGAATAAGGAGAATGAGAACGTTGAGAAAGTTAGTCAGAGTGTAGATAAAGATAATAGTGGCGCATCAGTTTTGGACCTCAACAGCAACACTTGTGGTACTTCTACATCAGCAATAGGTGTCAATAACGGAGAGGGGGAATTTCCCTCAATTGGACTTGGAAATGGCACCCCCAAGGTTTGTCGAACAGGATTTAAACCTTACAAAAGATGTTCAGTGGAGGCGAAGGAAAAGAGAATGACAGCAACATCCAGCAACCACAACGAGGAGGGAGGCCAAAAAAGACTACGTCTGGACCAGAAAGCCTCAAATTGCTGCATGTATTTCTAACCCTCCTCCTTCTCCTCCTCAATCTATCTTTTTCCTACTTCAATTCTTCGCGTGTACTGTAAAATGGCTACCTACCTTATGTGATTGGTACGTTCGAACTTATACAACTGAACTCATTAGCCTTTTTTTTTTTTTTTTTGTAAGAAGAATTGTTTGGTACACCCCAGTCGCCATTATCTTGTTACCACTTCAAAGACACATTAGTTTCTTCATGAAGATGGTATAAATTTGGCATGTTCTCTTCTGTATTGATCTTGGGTGAATCTCCCGGAGCGTTTATATGTCGTGTCATGAGGTTTGATGGAGGTAATCTTGATCTCCAGTTCTCCATTTGGCATTTTAGGTGTTGACTATTGACCTTGAATATCCACAGCTCGTCTTTATCCGTTGACTGTTGAGCTACAATAACAGGTCCCGACCATCTCATTCGGAGTTTTAGTAGGAACATACATAGCAAGTAGCTTAAGGGTTCATTTTAATAGAAGTTTAATGTTTGAGAACCTCTCAAAATGTTTTATTTTGGTTGAGATCAATTTTTTAGGGGGGGGGGGGAAAGTTCTTTTAACTATTTAATTTATTTGGAATAATTTTTAAATTTTCACTGTATAAAAAAATAAATATAACCTCAATATATGTATTTAATGGAGGAAAAAATGACTTCACAAACCATCTTTAATGAGTTTGCACACATTATACTTGTAACAGCCCAAATCCACCGTAGATATTGTCCTCTTTAAGCTTTTCTTTCGGGTTCCCCTCAAAATTTTAAAACATGTCTGTTAGGGAGGTTTCAAGAATACTTTGTTCTCCCTCGCAACTGATTGTGGGATCTCTCAATACTTATCTATCTCCCAACCTGAAAAGCCAATATCATAATAATGGCAGTTTCTGGGAGATGTCTCAAACAATAGAACATAATGAACATTAAAGAATCAGGAGCAGAAAGTAAACATATATATACAAAGTAGAATTCATATTTACAATCCTCAACAGAAAAAAATGGATCAACTTATTCACAAGACTCCTCGCAATAAAAGCTACAAAGTTCATGGCAGTTTCAATCAACTTTTGAATTGAAGTAACTCTCCTGAGCTTCAAATTCCTAACTTCTACTAAAGTAACTTTTTCAATAAGTCTTTTCTGTATAAATATATGTTCTCATGTTTGAGCGTCTAACCTCCTAAATAAAGGGGACACAGAGAACCCCAAAAGAGATAAAACGAAAAGAAAATATATTGACATAATTACCGAAGCTGATGAGCGTCGGCCAACAGTTCCAAACCCAGCAGGAGCGGAGTCGAGAAGTAAAAATGTAGAGCTGTACAGTCTGCGCAGTTAAGGTCTTCCCTTTCATTTACCTGTCGAGGGAGCGTCTTTGTGATTATGGTTGTGATGTTAATAAGTTAGTCCGAGTCTGTAAATAATGAATATAATGTTGAATTCGTCGCTTATTGTCCGAAGTTAGTGAAAATGGAGGTTTAATCTCAAGGGATTCAGCTTCTCCCAAAATGAATGAAAACAGAAGAATGGCTTTGGAGTATGAAGCTACTGCTTTGTCTTTGTTTTCCATGTATTCATCTACCTGGAAAAGGCACACTTGAGAATGTTAAACAGGAAGACTCTTTTAAGGAGAAGACCAGTAATGAGTTCAAGTTATAATGTTTGTCCATGAACTATTTCGATTCTTACCATCAATACTATTAATTCAATGATAATATGACATGTTTGTTAGATAAATATTGGCTGGTTTTTTGCACATGATAGAAGAAAGCGTGAGACTTTACATACCATGAATTAGTTGAACGGTGTCAATATAACAGCCCAACCCCACCGCTAGCCAATATTGTCTCTCTCGGTTTTCCCTTTTGGGCTTCCCCTCAAGATTTTTAAAACATGTCTACTAGGGAGAGGTTTCTGCCCCCTTATAAAAAATGTTTCATTCCCCTCTCCAACTGATGTGGGATCTCACAATGAGTCCAAAGAGGACAATATCTGCTAGTGGTGGGCTTGGGCTATTACAAATGGTATCAGAGTATTGTGAGATCCCACATCGATCGGGGAGGGGAATGAAATATTCTTTACAAGGGTGTGAAAACCTCTCCCGAGCAAACGCGTTTTAAAACCGACGGCGATATGTAACGGACCAAGGCGGACAATATTTATTAGCAGTGAATTTGGGCGGTTAAATCCAATTACCGTAGAATTCTATTAAAACTTCAGAAACTTAATCTAAACCTTTTAAGGTTTAAGAGATCCTAAACCATAGTAACTGGTAAGCATAATGGTATTTTAGTGGTTCCTATAATTCAAAGTCTTGAATCACTCAGGTTTATGAACTAAATAGACGAAGCCCGAAATTTATGAACGATAATGGTAACAAATGATAGTACAAATGAAGGTTGCTTACAGCTCCACTTTTCCCAAGGGCAATGGCTTTTTGGAATATGATTTCTATAGCATCAGGCATCTTAGTAGCACCTGCAAATAATAATTTCATAATCAAATTGTAAGCTGCAAACTTCACAAGCAAAATGGGAACGGCTAGAACAGAAACAGAGCACAAGGCATTTCGAACCATCAGTCTCTTGGATACTTTGCGATAACTTCTCGGCCTGATCCACGGCAGCAATGAACCCTAGCTCTGCCCACTTAGAAACCAAGGACGGCCTATTAAAATCGACATTTTCTTCTTTATTTGCAGCAGAGCCGGGATCTTTCTGAAGAGGGGTAGAATCAGTTCTCGAACTACTTTTTGAAGATTCGGTTTCAGCTGAAGAACTCAGCCAGGTTTCACTAATTTCGACCGCTTTCTGCCATAATGCTAAAGCAACCAGTTCAACTGAAAATGATTCTAAGAACGTTCCTGCATTGTACTGCATAAGCAAATATCAGGGCTCCAAATTCATCCTCAAAAAATTTGAAATGTTCATGAACCCATGAATTTCAAAATGAGAACATGGAAATTGGAAGAACAGAAAGGCGAATCCACAACTTATGAGCAACAGTCTAATCCAAACTCACCTTTTCTTGTGATAAATCTGAAAGAACCTGGACATATTGTTGAAATAACTGGAGCCTGGTAGAGGGATGCAATATTGGTAGCCCTTGTACTTCTCTTAACATAGATGCTGCACATGGCATTGAGAATCGACCTCGACTACATGACATTTCTCCGGTATCTCTTGTACTACCAATAAGCTCCTTCTGGGTTTTGGCTGTCATATCCCGATCGATACTGAGAGTATGAGAAACTCTTGATGAACCTTGTAATGAAGTTTCGAGGTGATAAGAAGAAGCCTCCAATGAAGTACAATGAGCATTCACGATTACATAATCTTTCTCAATCGACTCCATTGAATCAGAAACTGAGGGGGGACATGCCAAACAGAATGTAAATACATGGAAACAACCAAGTTCAAAGAGCAGATCAAGATCAGTATAAAACAAACCTTGAATCTGATTCATGGATTGTTGAATAGAATCAAGAGATTTTCTTAGCTCCTCTACTCCAAGATTGAGCATTGGCTTCTGTACACTCTCCATACCTGAACTGTAAATGTTCTTCGCTCCAGATATTCTATTACATATGGAGGAACTAGCGATTTCTGAATCTCTGTTCGATGATTCAATAGGTCGTTCTAGCTGTGAATTATCTGTTGCTGATTCGGAGCTGGCTGATACAATTGGCTGAACTTCAGATGCTTCCTCGACAGCTTTATTTGATCTACAGTATAATATAAATAAGTTTTGCAACTTCTGCTGCCTTGTGTACCAAGTATCAATCCACAACATGAACATGAGATCCATATAAATAATCTCTAAGGGGCTGAAAATAATACCTTGGCTCCTCGAAGAATTTGTGGTCGAAGAACTCCTTGAACGTAAGCCGTTCAACTGCAATTGAAAAACTTACATTTTAGTTCAGTTTCTATTCAATATTTATGAGATTCAAGTATAAATACTTATAATTGTATTTACTAGTATAAAATCTTGAAAATGTTGGAAAGTTTTCTAAGGGAAAAATATAAATCAACCACCTTCAATTAATTATCCCAGCACCCTTGCACACTTACAAACTGCATCACAGCAACAAATACCTGGATTTTGACGTAAAAGGCCTCTGCAAAGATTCAAAGCGTCGGGATGTAGCTCTTCCAAAGCAACTTTAGGAAATCTTGGCTCAGTGGATTCCAAAATATTCTGGAAGAGCTGTATCGTGCAAGGGGAGCCGGGCAATAAAACATCGTTTAGAAACGATCATACAGCAAGCTTCATGGATGATATCTTTAACTTGATTGTGTGTGGTAATCACTAAAGTAGAACAGTGTGCTAACAGTGTGCTACTTCTTACCCACCTGAAATGGACTATTGCCACTAAATGGAGGTTTCCCTGTCAATAACTGAAACAAAATTGCTCCAACACTCCATAAATCAGCCTGCACATACACACAAGAATAGAATCAGAATCGAAGGATTTAATCGGAAAGACATAAGGACGGGTAGCAGTTTGTTTATGCTTTATCACCTTGGCATCGTATCTTTGGTTCTGAATAATTTCCGGAGCCATATACAAAGGTGAACCACAGAGCGTGTCTGCCAATGACTGATTTGATAAGGACCTGCGAAGAAAACGAGTTAGTACACTCACTCGTTTATCTGTTTACTTGATTATAATGTAAAATAAAAAAGAAGCAGCAGCATGTCGATTAAAGAAAAATCTTCAAAACAATTTCTAGAAAGGTGAACTTGATTTCAAGAGGAATAGATGTAGGGTTTGAATTTTCAACACTTAGAATCACTTTCAACTACACCTTCGAGGGTCCCAACTTCTTTGTTCAGAATCACGAACCTCCATAATGGTACGATATTGTCCACTTTGAGTATAAACTCTCATGGCTTTGCTTTGGGCTTCCCCAAAAGGCCTCATACCAATGGAAATGTATTTCTAACTTATAAACCCATGTTCATTCTCTAAATTAGTCAATATGGGACTCCCTATTGAAGGATATTAAATCCTAGATAAGTATTCGTCATGGCTTGAACTCATTCCTTCTATTCTAAACTCTTTATTTACATTGTCGCCCAACCCTTGGAACATACTACAGCCCCAAGTGGTGAAGAGCCGACATCGAAATGTCAAACCTTCCCGTCGATGTGAGCTCTTGGGAAAGATCAACCTGTTATTCCTAGAGTAACTTTTATCCATTGAGCGAGAGCCCTTCCACTCGGTACCATCGGATCACTAAGGCCGACTTTCGTCCCAGCTTGACAGGTGGGTCTTGTAGTCAAGCTCCCTTCTGCCTTTGCACTCGAGGGCCAATCTCCGTTTGACCCAAGGAAACCTTTGCACGCCTATGTTACCTTCTACCACCGAGCTAATAGCCCTGTCATGTGGGCCTCTCACTGGGGCCCGCTATGTCAAAAGCGAGAGAAACCCCATCCCTCTCTTTCCTTTTTTCACCCCATGTCACCACACGTTATTAACTACGAGGCATCCCAGGATGATACTATTTCACAAATTAAAAAGAAAATATAAAAAGAGACCTCTACATCACTCTTAAATGCTCTAATAATAGGATTTATTCTTCATACAATCCTGAAACCGAATCATGTACGAAAACATACTAAAGCATCTTAGATTAACAATGCATGTAGCAAAAGTAGGTGTCTAAATGCCAACATTAAAAAACCCACCTCGCAAATCCAAAATCTCCAATCTTCAAAAGCGGAGTCCCATTATTAGATGTCAACAGCAAGTTCTTCAAATTTAGCCAAGAAAGAGCCAAAACATTTCAAGTCAGAATCATAATATAGTGACAAATTCATCAGATAAACCATTCATATTACAAAAATAATCATCTAGAAGCTTAAGAATAAGGGATTCCTCCAAAACTAGTATAAATTGCATTGGCTTACAGTAAGTTTCTACATCAAATCCCTAAGAAGCTATATATTGAGTTGAAAGCAGAATACCTGAGGCTTTAAATCTCTATGAATGAGGTGTTTCTCTTGAAGAACTTTCAAGCCAGTGGCTGCACATAATATCCACACACTAGTGAACTTTATATATAATCCTGAACAAAAAACACCAATTGAAGGCAGAGTAATAACATACCCAATTGCCTCATCAAGCCTCGAGCAACTACTTCAGATACTTTTCCATGGCGATTAATATAACCCCCAAGGTCACCACCATCACAATATTCCAAAACAAGAAAAATCCTATCATCAGTCTGCAAATCAATAAGAACAACACCATTACAATCAGAAGGAGCTTCACTTCAAAACATTGTGCCCTTAAAATCACAATTGTAAACAAAAAAAAAACAAAAAAAAGGGAGTTATAAAAAAATCCACCTGAATCGCTTCGAAGAGACGAGTGATATTGGGATGATTTATAGTGCTTAAAATAGAAATCTCTTTGAGCAAAGAATCACTGACTTTAGGATTAAGATGTGTTTTGTCAATCTCCTTCACGGCGACCACCGTCCCCAAGTGCCTATGCCTCGACTTCCACACGACGGCGAACGAACCCGACCCGATTCTCGGCCCCAATATGTAGTCGCCGATGGAGCGGCCCTGATTGGAGCCGATATCATCAAAATCCATAGCGGATTGAATGAACAAACAACAAAAACAACCAGTTGACTAAAGAAAGACAACTGGTTTTCGATATGAATCAGGGAAGAGGACGAGGCGCTTGGGGAAATTCATGGGCGGACTTCAAATAGCGAGAGAATGAGTGGATTTTTCTGAGTAAATGAGTAAGAAACTGATTGAAAAGAAGAATCAGAAGAAGAAAAAACTCGTTTCTGAAAAGGATTTTATGGGTTTTTCTTCTACTTTTCTGCGAAATCCACAGCGCCTTAGAGACCCATTTATTGGATTCAGAAGAACGTGAAGAATTTCAGAGTATCTTTCAACCTCAGTTCATCCATATCGTGGAAAATTAATTAAACTGTTCTTAAATTTGGGAAGCTTTCAAAATTCTCTCTCTCTCTTCATCCTTTTGTCAATTCACTTTTTTAAAGGAAAAAAAAAAAAAAGTAAATAAATATTACAACTTTAAATTACTTCGTCTTTGTATTAAGTTTTCAATATTTTAAGATTACGTTATCTTTTTCTTTTTAAAAAAAATATAATTTTAAAAATATTTTAATAATAATGTCAAAAAAAAAAAAAATTAAAATATTATTAAAAAAAACATGTTAGAAAATTAAAATACATATATAATTTTTGTAATCTTCATTTCTATCAATAATGTGATAAATATACCAATCTTTAAATATTTTCTAAAATTACTATTTTTATTTTCTTTTAGTATTTTATAATTTATGTTATTCCTATTTTTATTTTCTTTTAGTTTTTATAATTTAAAAAATCATAAACCGAGGATCGCTACTACAAATGTACGAGACATTGACTTTAAAAAATAAGTGGAAGCACGGAAGAGAGAATTTAAACACAATAAACCGATCAAAAACTTTGTGATACTTAAAAATTTTTAAAATATTTATAAAAGATTGTTTTTCATAGCTCGATAAAAATATGATTATATTATATGACCGGAGCCACGAGATCCTTTTAGAAGTTTCATTTTTACCCTAAACATGTATGGTTCCCTTAGAAGTTGAAATATAATGTTCACACGTGGACTTGAGTATACTTTGGTAGTGAGCTCGAGAATCGAGCATCTGAACGTCAACAAACGTGTGGACTTGGGTATAACTTGGTGGTGAGCTCGAGAATCGAGCATCCGAACGTCAACAAATATGTGGACTTGGGTATAACTTGGTGGTGAGTTCGAAAACCGAACACTCAAACGTCAACAAATATGTGGACTTGGGTATACCTTGGTGGTGAGCTTGAGAACCGAGCATTCGAACGTCAACGAATATGTGGACTTGGGTATACCTTGATGGTGAGCTCGAGAGCCAAGCATCAGAATATTAACAAACATGTAGATTTGGGTATACTTTGGTGGTGAGCTCAAAAACCAAGCATCTAAACGTCAACAAAGACTTGGGTATAACTTGGTGGTGAGCTCAAGAACCGAGCATCCGAACGTCAACAAATATGTGGACTTGGGTATACTTTGGTGGTGAGCTCGAGAACTGAGCATTTGAACATGAACAAACACGTAGATTTTGGGTATACATTGGTGGTGAGCTCGATAACCGATACGAACGTCAACAAACACGTGGAGTTGGGTATACTTTGGTGGTGAGCTCGAGAATCGAGCATCCGAACATCAACAAACACGTGGACTTAGGTATACTTTGGTGGTGAGCTTGAGAACCGAACATACGAACGTCAACAAACACGTAGATTTGGGTATACTTTGGTGGTGAGCTCGAGAACCGAACATCCGAACATTAACAAACACGTAGATTTGGGTATACCTTGGTGGTGAGCTCGAGAACCGAGCATCCGAACATCAACAAACACATGGAGTTGGGTATACTCTGGTGGTGAGCTCGAGAACCGAGCCCCCGAACATCAACAAACAAGTGATGAATGAAGAAGAACATGCATAGGAAAGAAAAAGAAGGTATTTTCATGGCAGAAACATGTTTTAGGCACAACTTCTGCATAGAATTGAAAGTATTCATGGAGCAAGGATTGAGTCAGGGGACATTGATATCATTTGAAGAAGGCTTGAATTAGAGAAAGTTTCCTCTATTGCAGGCCCCCTTGTGATGCCTCCTCCTCCTCCTCCGTCGACGTTTTCCTTCATTACGTGCACCAACTCCTTCGAAACGTCGCTCATCCGCAGCTTCCCGTCTCGACCGAACAGCAAGCACCGTGTCGCAAGGTCTGCAACTATCTCTATTTGCTCTCTGCTATGGGGAGGCTGCTCATGATAGTACAGAACCGGATCCACAACTTCTTCTAGCTTCCCAATTCTTATCTTCTGCAATGCTACCATTGGGAGGTCTGAGTTCTTCAACCCTGTGACCATTTCAAGAAGCACAACTCCAAAGTCATAAACATCATTGTTATGGAAAGATGATGCTTCGACCGGGTGAGATTTGTCGTCGGTCGGAGCGTTTAGCAGTCCGAATCCTAAAACTTTGGCCGAGAAATCCGCGTCGAGATAGATATGACATGATTCGAGATGGTCGTGGAAAATCGGTGGAGACACCTCACATTGCAGGAAAGCTAGAACACTAGCTGTCTCAGCAGCTATCTTCAATCTCCTATACCAATCCAGCGTCGGTTCGGTTCCTTTCGGGTGATGCAAATGTTTCTCTAACGTTCCATTGGCGGGATCTTCGTAAACAACCAACGGAGCGCAGCCAGGATCGATGCAGCAGCCAAGTAGATGGGCGACATTCTTGTGTGCAAGTACATACAGAATCTCAATTTGGGACAGAACACTCATAAGATTGCCTTCACTCTCGCAGTGTAGCTGGTGTACTGCTACTCTCAATCCGTCCCTGAGCTCCCCGGCATAGATCGCTCCGTTCCCGCTCCGAACAAGCTTGGCATTGTCCCCGAATCCCCTGGTGGCTTCTTGTAGCTCGTGGTAAGTGAATAAACGAGTCCTACAAGCTTTTTGCAGCAATGCATCGCTGTGAAACTGGCTGTGGGCATAGTTAAGCGTGGTTTGCTTGATGGGTCGTCTTAGTATGCAAAAAAGTCCGATAAGAGAAGCTATAATGAATAGAGGAGCAAGAACACCTGCACGTTAACCATATAAAAACATCATTTCTTAAGGAATCATCGTTCTTTCCCTGTAATAGACCAGTAATGAAATACCTGTAAAGATTATAAGCTCCTTTTCACTACGCCCTTTGCCATGGCAGCTACTTCCATACTCCTCGTGCCCGTTCTTAACGCAGGCTAGCAAAAAGAAGAACAAGAATGAGTGAAGTCCACATTGACTAATTTAGGAAATGTTCATGAATTTATAATCAACGAATACATCTACATCGGTACGAGGCTTTTTATGAAAGTCATGAGAGCTTAAGCTCAAAGTGGACAATATCATACCACGGTGGAGAGTCATGATTCCTACCATGGTATCATAGTTATATCTTTAACTTAGTTAGGTTAATAGAATCCTCAATGGTCGAACAAAAAAAAGTCGTGAGCCTCAAAGATTTAGTCAAAAGTAACTCAAAGGACGAACAAAGGATGTACTCTGTTCAAGGACTTCCGAGACTGAGTCAAGTCTCGATTATGGGGAGGCTGCTCGAGGACTCCACATGCCTCAAGGGAGGCTCTACTTTGTACAAGAGGAGGATTGTTGGGAGAACAAAGGGTGTATTTTGTTCGAGGACACTCCAAAGAAAGGAGTCGAGCCTTAAGGGGAAGCTGTTTGAGAGCTCCATAGGTCTCAAGGGAGATTCTATAGTGTACTCTGTTGTTCGAGGGGAGGATTGTTGAATATGGTTGGGAGGGAATCCCACCTTGACTAATTTAAAGAATGATCCTCGATGAGCCTAAACTAAAGTCATGAGATCTTATGTTCAAAGTGGACAATATCATTAGGGTTCCTAACCGAAACAAGAACCGGAAAAAAAAGAACAAGACAGAGCAGCTACATTTCAAGCACCCAAATCCACGAGCAAAGCCATCGCCGACGAATCCATCAGAACACGAACATCTAACCCCGTCAGGAACGGCGGTAGCATTAACAACAAACCCATTCTTATCACAAATCCCATCGGAGAAATTCCTAGGAAGGCCCCATTCGAATTTAACCCCTCGCTTGCCGGCACTGGACCCCTTCTCCACAACCCAGCTCGAGAATCCCCTGCACCCGAGCTTAGAGAAGACGGAAAAGTCACCCCCATTTCGCCACACGGAGCTGTCAGTAAGTGGGTAGCAGCAGGCCGGCGAGTAACGGGCGGTTCCGTCGCAGCCGGGCATGATGAGCTTCTCGCAGGTGGCCTTACAGAGGGAGGAATCGTTACAGTCATAAAGGGCGAGGACGTTGTCGTTGGCGATGGCGAAGAAGGGGTTGGCTGAAAGTGGGTTAAATGCGTTGAATTCATTGTACTGACGGCAGGGAGATGGGCCGGGGAAGTCGACCAGAACGGCGCCGGAGAGGAATTCGAGGATGCGGAAGGTTTGGCCGGTAAGGTTGAGGAAAAGGGTTGTGGAGTTGAGGCAGTAGAGATGGAAAGGTTGTGGAATTGAGATTGGGCGTAGTGGGTGTTCACATGAAGAAGTGTTGAGGTGGAAGGGGAAGGGGATTTGGAGGTTGCCGCAGACGGCGCTGCAGGCGGAGGAGGAAACCGCCGCCGGACGGGGGAGGAGAAAGAGAATGATCAGAATAGAAAACAGAAATGGCGGTGGTGGTGGCGGCATGGTTAAAGATGGAAGAGGGAGAAGAGGGGAAAAGTTTGTAACAGAAATGGCAGAGAATGTTGTTGTGCCATGGCAGAGGAAGGTCGAAGGAGAAGGGAACAAATATTCAATTATGATAAAAGAGATTTGAAATAATTTTTATTTTATTAAATTATAATTATAGATTCACATGCATCCAAAGAAAATTACTAGCCACAAAAAAAAGTACAGTTATGTCAGTCAAAACTCACTAATCCTAAATGTCTATAAGATCTATGATCTTGGTTCTGATATCAATCTGTAACGACCCAAATTTTACAATGAATTGTGACTAAAAACAACAATGTAGAGATAGTGTGAACGTTTATGAGAGTAAAAAAAACTAGACTGACGCTCCGGGACATACTTTCATATGTGACAATCCACGTCTTTCAAACACGTCTTCTCTTAACTCGTGGCATCACACAAAAAGAAAAAATACAGCAAGGATGAGTATAAAAGTTATTCTCAATAAGTCACCTACAGGGTTAACAGATTCACACAGGTTTCTCATTGACTCTAGGACGTTTGAGTTCTAGTCTTATCTCTTTGGGGGCATTCTGGTTTTCCGATCACTCTCATTCAGACATGATCTCGATTTATTCATGCATTACTCTCGCCAACTTCTGT